GATACTGGCTTTTTATCAAACCCTACAGATTTCAAGGCACCTGAAAAACCTCACAGGCAAGACAGAAAATAACGAAGACTACGGAATCTAACTGCCCTGGACTTACATAATAAAGATGGTCTAAGGTTATAGAAGAATGAAACATAATTAATTCAAATACAATTTTTTCTTATCAGTAACTGTTTCTGTAAGAAAAAAAAAAAAAGTTTATATAGATAATATACTACAGAGTGTGTCATACACAAATCATACACACCTGTCCTAGTCATAAATGTCTGCTGTGAGGATGCATAAAGAGCACTGGCTTCTAGTACTTCAGTTCCTCTGTTTATGCAAAATTCCAGACACAAAGTCCTTGTGAAAGTGGTGGCAGAGAACAGGAAACACAGTGGTAAACCCACTGGCTACCTAAAGATGTTTTTATTTGTGAATACTGTTTTTCTCTTTAGAATTCTGAGAGATTACTAAGAAATATAATCCTAAAAAGATGCAAGTTGCAAAGTGTTATTTACATTGGGAGAGCAAGACTTCTTCCTAGTGGGATAGAGAGTGCAGACACAGTTGCACTCTCAAGAAAGAATTGCTGTCTAAATATACAAATCAGACTCCATACAGGAGAGGAATTTCTGACAGAGCTTGGCAGAGGTCCCACAGTCCCTACAGACCCATGGAGAGAATCCTCTCTAATGGTGGATGTAGATCAGCAATGTAGTTCAGAACATAAGTGCACTTCTAAAATTAATCTCCTGAGCCTCCCCACTTACTGTACTTTAATTTGCACTGCATAGCAGTATTAGAGCACATAAACTGGATTCTTTCAGATGAAACAGAAGACTCAGGATTCATGCTGCAAATGGGAATTCAGTCTGTGGCATCAGACTAGAGGAAGTCTGAAGTGGCACTCCCCAAAAAGGAAATACTGTTGAGCCTTAAGCAGCAACAATTTTTTTTTCTCTACAGATATGTTCTTATTGAGCTGTATCTCAAATGCAACTCATCATCCTGGTTCAATTTTTACTATTAAATTTTCTGATTTGGGGCAATGGGACCTCAATTGGACTGTAAGTTCAAGGCACAGCTCCAGGAAGGGATGCCAGACAATACTGCTTGCATCTTACTGATGGTACTGACTGTACATAGACTGGATGTTGACTTCAAGAGTAGATGGTATTAGAGCACTCTACCATGTTAATTGCTTGAAATGATACAAAAGTTTTGAGAGATTGGATTACTAGAAATGAGCAGAAATGTGTACATTGAAAATCTGCTGCCTGCAGAATGCTGATCATTAACAACTGATGTCAAATTGTATAGCTATTTGAACATACCTTAGAGCCAAAAAAAGTTTTTCCAAATAGAGTAAATAACAAAATGTAGCTGAGGTGTAAATAGATCTTGAAGCCATATAAAGTGCCAAAGGGAGATCTTCGTTGCTGACTGTTGCTTTATGGACTGTTTTAAAGTTACTAATAAAATGATAAATGAAGTGCTTTTCATTTCTTTATGTGATTGCATATCAATAGTTCCTAAAAATGCCATGAGGCTTTCAGGATTAGTATTGACTCAAATTACTTCTCTTCCTCCCAGTGAAAGTTGTTATCTTCATTCTGATATGGATTTAGTCTAGTTTGTGCTTGAAAACCTTGGCCAATATAGAGAAGTTAGTTAAGACTGTGCTGTTTTAATGACATTTTAATGACATTTCCCACTGGCAAAAGTCCTTGCACAGATGTCACTACACAAAACCCAGGAACTCATGAAAGTGGACTGTCTAAAGCAAGTTTTTGCCACTACAGACTGTGTCAACTCTAGGAGGGGATGCCCACACAATGACAAAAAGTCTTTGTTCAAATGTGGCCATGGCAATAAACCTGTGGTTATTGCAAGGGAACATCAGTGTGTGATAACCTATCACAGTGGAAAGGAGAGCACATACTTCAGTGGAGACTGTTAAGGATCCCAAGGTAAGATCCAGAGGAGAAAAAGGGGTAAATTCTTTATCAGCCAATAACTTGCAGCAGCCATTTTCTGGTTCCTAATCTCTCTTTATGGATAAACACAAAAAAAGATCTTTCAAGTCAAAGGTATCTTCAACTCAGTATCAGTATATGTAACAAAGAGTTAAAGGCAGAGGATTACACTCTAGATCTCCAGCCCCACAGGTTCCACAGTCAGAGAGACCCACAGGCTCTCTTTAGAGGACAGACCTCCCCATGTTGTCTGAATGGATATTCAATGTTAAAGCATGGTGTGCAAGATCCACAAGCCATATTATCTCTAGATAAAACAAGTTCAACAGAAAACAGCTCTGGGAAGAATACAGAACATAAAAGGGAATCCCTTGCTAGGACGTCTTGTCTGACAGTTACAAGAAAACTCAGTAGAAGAATCTGCGTAAACACCTGTTTCTGATTAAAACACTTCAGGATGAATGATGTTTTATGTGGTTTTAGTAGGGATGAAAATTACTTTCCAAGCACCAAACAAGGTTTGAGGTGACGGGACCTCTCTGTGATGTGGCTGCAAGTTGAAACCCTTTAGCTTTGGTAGCTTGTGGTTAGAAATAGCTTGAAGAATAAATGGGTAGATGTGGGGGAAGAACTGCTTAAAAAAACTACACACTGAGAGGTGATGCTTAGAGGGAGAATCTCTAAGATTAATATGAAAGTTAAATGTTTTCAGAAACTTCATCTTTCAGCTCAGCAGGTTCTTCTCTAGTTCTCCAAATTCCCATCATGGAGAAGGCTCTATACCCTACATCAAAAGCATTTTGGAAGGACAGATTACCCTCTGTGAGTAGCAGTTCACATCAGATGCCTCTGGAAACTGGGTCCCTACTATACAATTGTTTGATAACTTCTTCTGGTTTTTGCACGTAAGTATTTTGATAAGATACTGCAAGGATCTGGGCCAAAAGTATCATCTCTGATAAGCCTTCCTTTAGGAGAAGATTCTGTGATTACAAACATAGGATAAAACACCATGCAATAGTGAGAAGGTAATCTGTGTTGAATTCTAGCAAGACTGTTACTAGTGATGTTCCTATACAAATATGATAGTGTAAATAAGCATTTTATTTTGCTTTTAGCAATTCCACTTATGGAGACAGCCTCCTTCCTAGGAAGCTTATTCAACCTCTGGACTTCCAGCTGGTTCTCAAGCATTATGTCATACTATTTGGTTCTAATTCATCATACAGAGCATCAGTTTCATTCTTTATATTGGTAATTTTGGTGTGCTTATGATTACTTATATGCTAAACACTGTTGATAATACTGGTAATCTAGCATTCCCTGAGCACAGTTAGGCTGGTGCACAATATCTATCCTTATTAGGTAATTTCCTGTGCTAAGAGACAGCGCAGAAATATCCTCCAGCACATGAAATACACTTCCATTCCACTTCAATAGAAGCCTTTCTGTGTAAAACACTACATTTTAAAATGCATTTTTAAGATTCCGGTAGGTGCTTGAGTTATCTTTCAGTGTACAACGAATCTGATAGCATATCTTCTTTGCTCTGAATAGCCTTTTTAATAGACACACAATTTCCACATTTACTTTTATCACCTATTATCAAATTACCCACTCTAAGATTTGGGTATGCTATTGTGCACTCCCTTCTCCTTTGTTTGCACTTAATTTTATTATCAGGAGTGTAGTTTGCTTCTCTCCTTTCCCCTCAGGTGATTCTGATCACTTCCAGGCTGGTATCCAAGAGGAGACTTGAGGATCATCTCAGAGACAAAACAAGACTGTTTACCAGCTTGCTTCTTTCAGGTTAAATGAAATGCTTATGTATCAGCTGATGCTGGTGAAATACAGTTTGGGCCTTCAAGAGTTAATCTCCCATCATGTTCTTGATCTTAGTCCATTGCTAATATGGTTTGCTTGTTGAGTTCCTTAGGGTGGGGAATGAGAGGAACTTGTGAGTGGCCTCTGGTTTTACCAGTGTACAACGGAGGAAGTCTGTAGTGGCTGAAATTCCCCCTTACACATAGACCCAGGTGAGTGGTGAACAGGCTACTTTCAAAAGCAGAACCTGTGGCACGTGGGTATAGATTGAAGGGAAACAACCCAGACAAAGAAACTTCACTTTTCCAAGACATACAGTAACTAAATGCAAACCAAGAAGGCATTTTGCAGAATGAGAGTGTTCTCCCCTTGTAGCAAGGCTCCTCCCTACATCCTGCCCTGTGGCCCACTCACCCCTGCCCCTGCCAGAACATCAGTATGAAGGGCAGTTGTTCACTACAGCCAAATGCAAGCAAAGCAGGGGCACAAAGAGAGGGGAGAACACCGTGTGAAAAGAGCTAAAGCAAAATCTCTGCAAGAAATTTCAGCAACTAGCTATATATATAAAAGTCTACAAATCTTGCTCTCTCCACCCTGTTAAAGGCACTCAGAATCTGAGAGAAGTCAAGTCATTGCATGGGACATGTAATACCTCCTTCTTCTCCTCACTCACTATCTCCTTGCAGGAGCTAGAAAATAAATCACAAGAAACAAATAAGAGGACCAAGTGCCTTTCCCTGAATCATTTTGCTCTACTGCAAAGTTTATGGAGAAAGTCTCATGGTCTTAACTTCAGAGTCCTGTAGAAACCCAAGACTGTATCTTTGAAACTGCATATTCTTTTCCCATTCTGCTAAGTGTTGCCACCTAATTCCAACACTGGACTATTATTAAAACAAGTGTCTGCCACCACATTGTCCTCACAGAAGCTGTCAGGGCTGTGTCTTTATGTTATATCATGAAACCAGAGAGCAGCACCATTGTTATGGTTCACCTACAACGGGAAGCACATAGCCTTCCACAGAGCACTGCACCCACATGCTTGTTTATTGCTGGCAGGCCCAGGCTCTGGGCTGCTGATTGTACAGTGAGCACCTGCCCATGGCAGATCTGGCTCAGGGCAGACTTCCTGTTGCAGCGCCACAGCTCCCTGAAGTGAGATTTATGCAAACTGGCTACAAGCTGTGATGTCACGGCGCACTGATAGACCCAAGGGCTATCTCCCTGCTACAGACATTTGGTAAAATCAGGAACTTCACATACAACTCAGGAAGAAGTTCACCTCAGAACCTATTAGGGAGAACTATGAAAACTTGTTAGGGTCCTTCTGTCCTGAGATCCGTCACTGCCAAGGGACTTCACAGAGTCCAAGGATCTCTTTTTTTTTTTTTCATTTTCTTTCTTTTTTTTTTTTTTTCCCCCTTTTTTTTTTCCCCCCTCTTTATTTTTGTTTCATGTGATTTTTTTTCAAGTCAGTTATTCTGGATGTTTGAAAACTGAATTAAGAAAAACCCACTCAGAAGTTGGCTGAATGTTGCAAGCCTGCAAAATGGAAGGATTTCCCCTCATTCCCCCTGTGAGTATATGGGGTTTATTCCTAATATGGATCATTGGGCTCAGTAGCAAAAGTCAAAATAAACCAGGTTTTACTAGTTGAGAAAATATCTGTTTGGCTCTGTATTTGTAATGCCAGGAAGTTGGGCTTAGGTCAATACGTAAAGCCAGTGACAACATGGCAATTAATGGCAAATTAACATTTCCTCCCTAAACTTGTATCTGATTTTGAACTCCACTTGTTTTCAAAGATTAAATGTGTGGTATTCATGTACGTTATGTGTATAGCAAGTCAGTAATTTATTTTTTTTCAGTGTCAGGTTTGTGATAAAAGGCTGAGTCTTTTGTCAGGTTGTAATTCTTAATAATCTGGAATCTCAGTTTATGTATTTAGTATATGTATTTAACTATCTGTCTATCCACGTGTGAGAGAAAAGCTGTTGAATACTGTTGATTTTAAGTATTGCAGCTTTTAGGACTCTATGCTCTTTGCAAGGGTGTCATTTTAGTTTCTAACTTCAGCTTCTCTTGAACTGAATTCTCTTGAATTCACCTACAATGAAAAAGCAATTGGCGAATGAGGGAAAAAAACCCCACTGCTGTTAATTGGGTCTTTCAATGTTTTCTCTGAGTTACAAGTTTTTCTGTGTGTTTATGAGGCTGTTTCTATGATTTAACTCGGAAGCATTCTTACACTGCTGTAATCTATTTGATGGTGAGTTCAGAAATTATTATTCATGAAGAATGTAATGTCTCAAACATGTTGTTCAGAAACAACCCTTAAGGGGAAATCTCTAAGCAGAATGGCTAAAAGAGGCCCAAACTGGAGAAATGTCAGCTAAAGTGTTTTACTTGGCTTTTTATGCGGGAGATGATTTATGGTAATTGCTATACGTGTTCAGAAAACAGAAGGAGACAGTGCAGATCCAAGAGTCCTTTTAACAAAACTTATATCAAGTTCTCTCTTTGTCTTGTCCCATCTAACATGGCTACAGATGTTTCCATATCTTCCATCCCCAAAAATGGCCCTTGGGTTTCCTTTCATGTTTGGTATCCATGTTGACTGAAAAAAATAGGTCTTCTTTTTGGGATACCCTTTATTCTTGCAGTTAACCATCAGTGTCCCTGAAATCCCTTATTTACCCAAAGAGTAAGAAGGCCCTAAAAATCTTTTTTTCTTAAGTAACCAAGTTGCCCAGTAGATCTGCTGTAAATGCGCCAGTATGGAAATGTGAAAAGAAACAGAAAATGAGAAAAGCACACAGAGATTTTGCAATATGTTACTTGTTTGGCTTAAAACAGAATTAAAAAGAAAACCAAACCTTGTCCTCAACTACCCCAGAAACCAGCATTTCCATTTTTAAAAAAAAAACAACAAACAAATTGTTAATTTTCTCTCATTCACTCATATCCAAGTTTTCTGGAGTCTTTTTTTGTATTGAATTTCAGTGCATACGTTGAATAAATGGAGAGAAAATCTAACACAGTCTGGGCCACATTCTAATTTCTGATGCAGTTAACGTTCTGGCTGAACTCTGTTCAGATGAATGATACAAGCAGTGAAAATACAGTTATGTTTTACAGGAATGCTTGAGAGGGCAATTTGGTTTTTATTTTTGTCATTAAAATCCTCCACCCCATAATAATTTTGTTTTGTACTTTCAAAATTCTGATAAGTGCATTTTGAGCACTGCCAGGTAGAGCCCCACATCGTATCGTTATAAACGTCTGTGCCTCCTGGGACTTTTTCAGAGGGGAGACATGGGCCAGTTTTTAGGCAGGGGTTTCTGTGAAGCAATACTTCCCTCCTCTGCCCCTCCTCTGTCAGTTGAGGGTGGGTCAGTAACTGCCTTCCTCTTCACTATGCAAGGGGACTCTTAACCTTTGTTTGGAAAATGCTGCTCAAATGCTTAGGGGTACTGCACTTTTCTCTGAAGATTACAAATTTTGCATGGAGAAGTTCTTCAAACTGGGCCCATGCCTTCCAGTGTATGGTAGAATCAAGTTGTGCTATTGGGCGAAAAACTATTAAGTCAAACAACTTTGCCTAAAGAGGGTCCCAGTTAAATGTGAATCCCTGAGTAGCCACCTGTAGGAATCACAGCTTTAAAGGGAAGTGTAACTGTAGGAGAGAGAAAATGTCCCACACAAGTGCTCTGTTCTACTTAACTGAGTTTCCAGCACAGTCTAGGGAGGCTGGCCCAAGGGGTGATCATATTTTTACTCATCTTTTTTGAAATACTTCAATAGCCACTTTTTTCCAAGGAAAACCAGTTAATTTTAGCCTTAAAACTTGTCTCAGCAGTTTCATTGGAAACTGTGTCCAGTATTTCTGAATCACATGCCAGTGAATAGTTATGTCAGGATTAAAAAAGATCAGCATTTAGTGAATTTACAATCTCCTGGAATTGTCTAACAAATTCTTAGTAAAACCAAGAATTTTCAGATTGCTATTCAGTTGAGTCCCTGGTATGTCTCTTAACCAATGCCAGCCCAGCTTTCTTCAAGTAGTTTTGTGGCTTTTCCCTCCATTTTCAGGGCAAAGAAGGAAGATAGACACAACTCTCCATTTATCAGTCTGTGACAGATAATGCATTGTTTGTTTGTTGACCGCTTGCTTGAGGTTGCAGTATGGTTTTAGCTGGCATACTGCACCTCATGGCATGTAGGAAAGGAGATACTAACTTCAGACCACAGCTATGAGCTGCTAACAAAGCCCTCTGTCACTCTCTTACATGAAAACAATTGCTAGAACAAATGGCCATTGACATCAGTTATATATTAAAGTGGAACACAAGCCATTCTTTACTTTTTGTCAGGAGAAACAAAACAGTTCAGTGTCATGGAAGTGCTATTAGTAAGGTGATGAAATGAGTGTGTGGGTGGGGAGGTTCCAGAGAAGGATGGGGCAACTGAATAAAGATTGGTACAAGAGCCAACAGCAGAACATGGTGAAACCTCTTCTAACTAGAGAAAAAGCTTTTAGTTTCTCTAATTAATAGAGGAAAATATCACACCTTCCTATAGGATAAAGATAATCAGAGAGAATCCATGCTGTACTGTCTCCTTTGACCACCATCTGATTAGGGTTGTGATATATAAACATGTACATATTTAATATACACCTTCCTATATCAGTTATTGTAAGCTTGGTACAGTGGTGCTATTTCAAGTCCTTTGTAGGGAGGGATTAGTCCAAGTTGCATGAGTTAACAAGGATGTACACATACATATTTTATCAAATGAATCACTGAGCAGAAAACAAATTCAAGACTGAAATTCCCACAGTCCATAAGAAAGAGATTTAAGTCCCAGACTTTCAAAACAGACTATGTAAAAAACCCAATGATCTGTGTAAAAGCAGACTGTTTTTCAGATGGTGAGTATCTGCAACTTGCTCTGCAGTCAACCAGATCTTTAAATATTAAGAAAAGAACTGATTTTAAGAGTTTATTTCACACACCCTCCTTCAGCTCTGGTCATTCAACACACATCTGAACTTGTCAAAATTGCTTTTGAATGGTAGAAATGCTAAATTCTCAGCTCTTAGATTGTGAGACACTATTGCCTGTCACAGTAGATTGCACTGAAATTAGGGGGATTGGAAAATCCTAGGGAAGAACGCACAACAATAGAATAACACAACTAAGAAAAGTCAAAATTTCTTTCCCATGCCTAATGTATATGTACTGTTTATCTACTTCTGGACTGATGGCTGGCCTTCCTGCCAGGCTATACTTCTATAAAGATGTGAGTGATGTGCTTTTCTTGTAGCAGTGGCAATTCTATTCATAGCAAAATAAGCCTAGATTGACAGGACACTGTATTTTTTTTTAATTATTATTTTTTTTTAATTGTTTACTTTGGGCTAAATATTTAACAGAGCTACAAACTTTGAAGCTCTCAGATACTGAAAAATTTTATAATCTCAGCCAGTTTCTAGCATTTTAGTTGAATAGAAACAGATTTTTCTTTCAAACTATATGTATTTATATGGCTTTTTTAACCTCAATTTCTCCCAACTAGTATGATGTGCAGTTTCCATTTGGAAGTTCAGGTCTCTCCTGTCACAGAATATGAATGCTTTCCTTTCAGTTATGACAAATTAACAATTCTGATTATGAAGGCAAAAACTTTATACATTCTTCAGGTTGACAGGATTGAACAGGAAGCATATATTTATGGAAAGGAAATGGAGGAGTGGGATTAATTAATTAGCAAAGATAGTGAAAAGCAGAAACTCCATTCAGAACATTATCCTGAAAAAAGCAAACCACAGTATCGTTACCTTTCTTGTCAGAGACCCGGGTAAACCATGGATCTAAGGAAGGGGGATGAGTGAATGTATATGACCACTCATGGCTAGAGAGAACACAAAATATGTAGAGGAAATCCAGAAGCATCAGAGAGAATCCATGCTGCACTGTCTCTTTTGAGCACCCTTCTGAAATCTGGAAAATAGGTTATACTTCTCATTAAAACTCTGTGTAGATGAAGGGCAATTCTGCTGAAATTGTTCTGATTCAGAATGGGAGACTGCACCTACATCCTCTAGAGGCCAAAAATAAAAGGAGTTCCTTCACTGGTCTGCCTGCTGTGGATACAATTAAATGATGATTTGATCCTTTTACTTAGTCTTTCCCTTAGATTGCCTTTATTGTGGGTTATCAGCTTCTCAAGATTACCCCAAAACAATTATCCACCACTAGGGATTATATTGCAAGCTGACAGCCAAGCAATGGATTTGCTCCTAAGGCTTTGAATATTCCATAGATCTGATGTCCAATTAATGTGTATTCTGGAAGTCGTGGAGTCTTAGGCAATCCTACCAGTGCATTTTAATATGATATGCTAATACAGAACACAGCTGCTGATCCACCAAGGTCCAAAGTAATTTCTAAAAAGTGTTTTCTATTTTTTTGGTGTGTTCTAACATCTCAATCCTCTGATAATAAGTCTCTCCTTTTCTTGATCTAATGTCTCAATGTAATCACAGATATCTCTAGAAGAGGACAACATTTAAATCCCCAAATTAAATCAGAATGAACTAAAGGAGTTAATGAGAAGAATTAAAGCACAGTTTTAGAGAGCAATGGTAACTCTGATGTAGTTTCCACCAGAAAAAAAAAAAAATCCTTTTGCTTATCTACCACCTCCATCTGGATCTCAGTGGCAGCTGCTGCCTTAGGTTTCATGTTATTGAGTAGTCTAGAGAAGGAAAAAAAAAAAAAAAAAAAGCAGCTTGTCTGTATTTCTGGCATGCTGTCACTGTAGCCTAAGCTCACAAAATGCTGGTGTTTCCAAAATGAGACAGATTTATGGAAGGAGGTAAGGGTTTGACTCATAGATAGGCATATGAACCTATAAACATATGAACATCAAAAATATGTAAATCTTGTAACTTCTATTGCTTTAAATATTTGTCCTTTTCTCTTAAGTTAGTTATGCTGAAGTAATTAACAGAAGAAAAATGTTTCTGCTAGTACATACTAGAAATAATTTCCTTTCAGAACAAAAAGCAAGAAGGTGTTTGAGTTCAACATTGCTACATTGAGTTCCACTGTTGACAGTGTAAGAATATGTTCAGATTGGAAGAAAATATTGTAACAGACTTAACTGAACATAAGTTTAGCAAAGCCCAGTGAAGGACACTGCCTTGATCTAACCCTTCATTCTGGAAAAGGATAGAACCAAATGTGAAGCAACACAGAATTTCTAATGAACAGACCACCTTTACTAAAACAATGTACATTAAACAGCATTAACATTGGCGTGCTGGAACAGTACAGAATTAATAATGAACAGACCACCTTTACTGAAACAACGTACATTAAACAGCATTAACATTGGCGTGCTGGGCATGGGGAGTAAGACCAGTGGGAAAGTTACCCTGTGTCACCTGTTTTAAGATAGAGAGGACTTTACTTCTACAGCTAAACATCCAATAGGTCACAACTCAGTATCTGTCCCACATTTGGACTTTATAAGTCTTCTCTGTGCATACTTAACAGCCCTGTGCAGCTGATTTGAACTATCAAACATTTACAGTTCACCCTGGACAAAAACTGAGGAAGAAAATGTTTTTATACCCTCTCTCAAGGTCATTACCCTCTTACAAACTGCCACCGCTTAGCAAGACCTCCTAGAAACACTCAGGATAAAAAGTTTAGGTGAGACAAGTTTGTGCTTTCTCTTTTGTGTACAGGAGGAATAATAATAATAAATGTTTGTCATTACTAAATAATAATAATATGCTGATGTGATGGTATCTTGGCTTGGGCCTGATGTCCAAGGCCTCTCTAAGTAGTATTGACAGAAGTTTTGGACAGGATTTCAAGAACTTGTGTAATACCACAGGACAAGTTCTGCTATACAGACTGGGTCTAAGGAGATAGATTATTTTTTTGCAAACCAGGGTTGGTATCAAGCATTTAATTTCTGATGATTCAAAAAGAACTTAAAGCCTACCCCTTTTTTCCCTAGGCAGTATAAAATGTGTTGGCATGTCCCCTTCACTAATTATATGAATAATTTTGGAGGGATTTGTGTACGCTTACGGTTCTAAAAATTCCTCTTCTCTTTGCAGCCCTCTGAAGATATGGTACCCTATGAGTCAGACCTCTACCGACAGCCCCATGACTATTACCAATATCTCAACAGTGATGGAGAGAGTCATGGTGGTAAGTTAAAAAATATCACCTTGAAGCATAGAGTCTCATGGGGTACTAAGGGAAGAGACTTAAGACATTCAGGAAAAAAAACAACCATGTTGCTGTGATCTATAATGTATAGGGTCATACTTCCAAATCAGAAACCAGGAATATTTTATTCTGCTTAATGGCACTGTTCCAACCCAGCAACTGCAACACAGTTTCTCTGAAAGAGAATTTTAGAAAGCACTGAGTGATGCAAGGAGCTTCCAGGACATTCAGCGTAATGCCAGGGAGGTGGGATCTCATGGTCTTCATCCTTCATTATCTTCACTGTGTTTTTACTTTCCTCTACAGATCAATAGCACTCTGCTTGTTTCGGAAATCTTTGAGGACATGCATTTGCAAGAATGTATTTCTCTTCATGTGTGCTTATCTTCAATTCCTTTTTGGCTTAGGTGCTAGACACCTTATTTGTGCCTTCATTTTGATTATGTTTCTTTGGTGTTTGGCCTTTTTAAACTCCATATATTTCTCTCTTTCTTTTGATCTCTTTTGCATGCTGCCACACCTAGCTTTAACTTTCACTCTTCCTCCAGTACACCCAAGTACTTCCTCTCTCTAAATTTATGTGAAACTTCCTTGTAGCTGTATGTAAACCTAGCTCATTATAAAATTACTGTATAGTTATTTATTGCTTCAATTATGTATGTGATTTCAAAGTTTTGTTGTCTTTATATTTTCATGTTGTCTGGGCACTGAACTCTAAATGAATGCAGAGGGGAGAGTCTTGCTCTGCAGATTTTCTCTCTGGTGCAATACAATGGTCCATCAACACCACCCTGGAAATATCAGTCAATATTGACTCAGGAAGGAAAAGCACCGTTCTACTGTATCATTTGTGGCAGTCCCTTCTGATCCTGGAGTTTCCCTAAAAGACTCCCACTGATATAACAATGAGACCCATCGCTGCTTAATTTAAGACATCTAATGAGTTCACAGCATAGCACTGTTTTAGCTGTGGCAACAGAAGCTACCTTAAGGGACAGCAAGTTACAGAATAGAATTGTTCTGAGCATTTAACTGAAAAAGATTCCTACCTAAATTTGTTCTCTACTTTGCATTCAGGTAACACCAATGATACTCTTAATGCCTGGAGACAAAGAATTAATTCAAGTTTCAGAAGTTATCTCATGGCATCTGTCAAGGCACATTAATCAAACCCAGCAAATTCCACATGGAAATTCAGGGTTTTTACATTATAACCTGTACCTGTTTACACACCTGTAAAATAAGGATAACATTTATTATCTCAAAAGGCAATTGTGACAATTAAACAATAAATATAAAAATGACATGTAGCAAAAAGGGCTGGGAAATAACTTTTCTGACACTGAATCTAGGCTACCTCAAGCAACAACATCCCTTTATCTTTCATAAACTTATAATCCCATCTGGTTTATTGCCCAATTTTCTTTGGAAGGCTGTTCCTAAGCTACACTGCTCAGATCATTAACATATTTTTATTCATCATAATGGTCACAACAAAACCTCAAAAGTCACCCAGATGGGTTACAGCCTAAGTAGTACCTAAACACCCATTTTGAACAGAAATCTGTCTCTTCCTAAACTCATGTTGCACTTGTTCTGAACACAAAAAGAAACATTGTTCAATATTTTAACTCCTACAATAAGTGGTTATGGTAATTCCAGCCTGCAAACTTCAATAACATTCTTATTTATGAAAGCACCTCTAATGTAGTTGGTTGTGTCTAAATATCTATTATACCCTATACTTGCATGAATTGCTCACAGTCTCAAGGAGCAATGAAAAACCAGAGTATAAAAGAATACAAACTAAAACATTTTCCTTCTTTCCTATAAACATTGACAAACCCAAATTTGGCTGTAATTTTGTTAACAAGTTTGTTAGAAGTAGTAGGTTTTGCAAACAGCTGTGCAGAAGAGCAGGAAAGGGAAATATGTGTTCAGAACAACGTGGATAAAAGCACAATGATTGAAAAATGGTGGGGAAAATGATAAATAGCTATCTCATATAAACTGTAGTAGTACCTAGAAAGGTTGGACTGGGTGATCCTTGAGGTCCCTTCCAACCTGGCATTCTGTGATTCTATGAAATAATAACTAAGTTGCTGCAGTGACAGAAGTGAGGTGAAATAGTTGAGAACATGATTAAATAGAAAAAAAAAAGAAGTAAGTAGGACAGAACTGTGAGAGAGGAGTTTGGCTTGGGGTACAGTGAGACCTCTGGCAATACATTTTGCAGGTCTACTCAGTACCACTATGGACCTCAAAGTAAAACTACTAGATAAAACAAAGAGGTACTACAAGGCAGAATAATACTTCTGACTTTGCTAATAAGGGACAGCTAAAGAAATAGAAGGTCTTGCTCAGGTGTCAGACTCTCTCACTGCCAGTACACTAATTTTGTGAAGGGGAAATGGCAATATCTTAAGCTGTAAATCTGTGTATTACTGCCACTTTTTTAGAACATAATGCTGAAGGCAACCCTCACTTCATGTTTAAATGATTGGTAGTACAGTACACACAACAATGTGTCACTAATTTAATAGATAGGAGATCTTTGCCAATATGTGAACACTAAATTTAACAAGGAAAAACACAGTATATGTTCATCACAACATGCATTGTGTGAATTTGTGTTGTATACTGTGTTTTAACTATTTTGTAAATACTGTAATAAACACAGAGACACAGTCATGCGGGGTAGAAACTACTTCAAGTGGTCATGTATTAGCCCATCACCCTGCTCTGAGCTTCTAGTTAAGTCTGCAAATGTAATACAGCAGATTTTGTAACACTAACGCAATCTTAGTAATTACAAAATTCCACTGCAGCTTTGTCTCTAAGTTATTACTAAACATTATTGGTTTAGTAAAAATCACTTTTTGCATGAGGCTGAATGCTGGCCCTTGTTCACTAGCCTCAAGGAACTTGCTAGGTTTTGTGATGTGGGATTTTATTTTCACCCCACCTCCTAGAGTAATATAATAATTTAAGAATCTCAGCTTCAATTTTTTTTTTTTAGGATTTTAGCCCACAAAGAAGTGGAGGAAAGTCCAAACATGTGAACCTTAGTCTTACATGCTATAAGGAAAATAGAAAGAACTCCAAACTTCACTAAAAAAATCCCCTCACTCCAAAGCCATTCTCATTATTTGCTGGGGTCTGACTCACAGATTTTCAAACATTTGGTATTATTAAAATTGTGAAGTCTGTAAAGTGAGAACTAATGAGATCCTACTGTCGTTACAGATAAGACTGCTGCACTGCCAAGGAACACAGCATTTCACTCAACAGAGGGCTATTCCGTAGGGAATCAAGACATTAATTTTCCAGTGTCCTTCAATACTTTTCTTATTCTCCATGCTTTTTTTCTTGGCTTATGTTTTCAGATGAGCAAAACACAGTGGGAATACCTAAGCTTTCAAGTGTGGCTCTGTGTAAGAAGCCTTCTCTTAGTTCAAAATGAATTGGAAAATCTGTAGACCCCAGATGAGAACCACCCAGAGACACTAGCTCAGGGCTCACATGTCCCCAGCAGCACAGCACTTTGCTGACAGAGCTGTCATGTTTCCGCTTCAGGAGCTGGCTCATGAATTTCTGCATGGTGCAGATTTAACCAGTTACTCCACTTCGTGATAAATACCTTCCCTAAGCCTGTTTAGTAGTCTAACTACTGGTTCTAACATTATTCACCTATTAAAACAGGGGCAAAGCAATTTATGTTGGTCAGAAGATGACTGAGAAACTTCAGTTATGTTTTCTCACATGTAGAGCAAGAATCCATGGTGAATGTTAACCCAATGCCTTGAGCTCCACTGTTGCTTCCCAACAGGCTAACATCCTCTCTGTCAAGGCAGGGAGTTTAGAATTCATCATTGTCCTTCCTCTAACCTTTCATTACATACAAGACCAAAACAAACATTATCTCCATGTCTCTATAAGAGAGAATTTTTTTCACATCCTCTTTCACTTCACATGAAATTTCTCATAATGACTCCATTGTGTAGCTATAGCTTGACTTTTAATCACATTTGGCTTTACCCAAATAATAGACACTTTCCATTTCTAGATTTTTTCTCTCTTTTTTCTTCTCTCCATCTTTTACAAGAAAAGAGCAGAATTGCTATGCATTACTGACATAAAACTAACAAAGGACATGGAAGTAAATAGCTGCTGATAACTCTAATAACTGCAGACACAGATACTTAAACTTTTAAAATATTTTTTCATGTGCAATAACTTAGCCAGGATGGTTAACTGCAGAGGAGCTTGTGGAGACTGAATTTGGAATTTCTTTTTTAAAGTAACTAAAACAACATTCTTTTTCCTAAGCATCACTGTGAAATTATACCTGATTTGGAAAAAAATATCAACTTTTCCTCCTGTCACAGCTTGAATATTTGGACATAAGTTTGTATTGAAGTAATTTCTCATATAGATTTATTTTGTAACATATTAGTATCATGTGGTCACTGTAAGTTCCTAAATGCTGTGTTATTAGTACTGTTCTATTATAGTATTTTTACAGCAGCACCTAATTCCATAAAAAAGGAATTAAGTCATGAGTAGGCTAAATATTACATAGGTATTAACATGAATATGCATAAATAGTGCTTCATAGGTTAATTTATTTGCTGAGAAAGAGTTTAAAAGAACAGTAATGGAAGCAGCAGGAACCTTGTCACGGGCTCCAAAAAACTACAAGGTATCTTGAAGAATATAAACAACTGCTGATAAAAATATATTTAAGCAGAATCAAAAGTAGGTCACTTAGAGCATGCACAAACACTCACAGCTATACAGATTGGAAATGTACTGTTCTTTCTTGACCACCATAGTTACTACTAGTAAGTCACTGACAGCCCCAGAGACTTTTGCTTGGGCTTTATCATCCTCACCATTATGTATTGATCTCATTTGCTGTAGTGGAGCATCAAAGACAATGGGTCTTTGACAATATGCATTGCCATCTGACAGAGGACTTTCAGCACAAGGAGCAATGTATCCTCAACAATTTATTATATGGGGCTGCCCATGGTATGTGAGGCCTCAATGGTTGGCTCTACTTAGAGAAATCTGCAATAATTTAACAAACATGAGTTACTGTGGCTCAGTCTTCCAACTAAACAAAAAAGGTTCAGATTAAAAGTGCCCAAAACCTCCTACCAGGACACAGCCTTAGAAAACCTGTGGATTCAAACTCACATGCACTGCCATTTTCTGGCTTGGAGCAGATGGGAATGTAAAAGCATCTAGGGGTTTGCATCCATAAATAACCCACTTTTTTTTTACTGGAGAAAACAACATTTTTCTCTAGCACTACAACATGAAGAAGTGCTACTGTGCATTGTAATGATAACTATGGGCTATAAAATCCACACATAGTACTATAAAACAAAGCAAAGGAATTACCAAGTAATGCAGCAAATCCCCAGGTGCTTTTATAAGCTCCTTTCCATCCATGTCACATGCAGTGATATGGTTTACCCATGAATCAGAAAAGCAGGAAGACCAAAAAAGTAAGCACTCATGTGGTAAATGGTCTGATAGAGCCTCCAAATAATTTTCTAGAGTCCTGCGCCATGAAGGCAGTTTCTCAGGTACATTATGTTTGGTACAAGCATATCACTGAGTTCCCTCTAAAGGAAGAGTCACTATCCCAGATTTCAAATCATTAATGAGATTAGACCTGATGTTTGAAACATAATGAGGAGATAGAAGCGGAGAGAAAGAATGAAACTGGTATTTAAGAAAAAAAAATATTGACAGCACGTTTGTATCCAGATCATATCATACAGAATAGCATCATACTGCAAAACAAGACAGTTGCTCTTCTATAAATGCAGTACAACCTCACCTGGAGCAACATGTTCAGTTGTGTCCATTGCATTATTGGAAGTATGTCAGCAACTGGGAGAAGTGCCCAAGTATGACTGCAGGGGTGAGGATACTGATTGATATTGAAAAACTGAGATCCAAATACATAGAGCTGGGTTATCTGAGAATTTGGAGTAGATGATAAGGGTAGGTGATAGCAACCTGAAAGATGTGAAGAGTAGCGCAGCAACTCTTTATAGTAATACAAGGGAAGAAAACTCAGAACAGTAAGATAGAAGTTAGAACTGCTGCACTGAATATCAAAAAGACATTTCAGCCATGCATAAAATGATACATGAAAAGTTAAGCTACGGACGATTAATTCTTAGCTCAGTCAGAGCAGAGGATGGGATGTTGACTTTGATTTTAAAAAACAGAGTGCACACAAATATGTGCATATTTATGCATGCTGCTATGTATGTAAGAGAGAAATGCTTCACATTTCCTCTATCAGATTTTAAATTTTGTGCAGCAAATACAAAATTCTAAACATTTTGGAGGCTTATATTGAACTAAAAAAACAGTGACATGGCATTTAATTTCAAAAACAAATAAATCAGGAATCAGGCTAGTGTTTATCTGACTACTTTTGTGAAAAAAATAGAAATTATCACAGACATTTCAAACATACTAAAGAAAGAGATAAAAAAGGTAGAGAAAGAGTCTGCATCAAAATTTAACCTCATTGTAAACAATACTGCAACAGTCTATGCTTTTATTCTCCAGTACTGGTACTGAAAAATGTATGAAATAGCAATAAGGTTACAGGAAATATCCAGCAAAATGCAGTGCCTTTTCTCCAGCATTCCTGAAATTTTGCTATCAGATTAAAATAAAGAGTGAAGATATCTGCAGAATAATCTGTAAATTTTCTCCATCTCCTCATTTTCATGCCGTGAGGAAGAGTGTAATGAAAACATGACAATACATAGATCAGTAGAATTTGTTGCCTCAAGAATAAAAATGTAAGATTGTTATGGTCTCCTCTTGAGAAAGGTGCCAGCATTAAAGTCTTTTCCATCTTGTGCTAAATTATGATTGAAATCCATCTCTCCAAGAGTACTGTAATTAAAGTAGCCTAGGTATTACTTTTAGGCAACAGGTTACTATGAGATTAGGAAAAGAAACTTTGCTGGGATCTGTATAGATTGTCAGAGACAGACAGGGACAGTGTGGAGAGCACAGAAAGGACAGTGACAGGCATAGGAACCAATAAAAGACAGGTAAATGCTGTGCTTTATAATCTTCTAATGACAGACAATCTGTTATTTATTTTCTTTAGATCATTACTGGGAATATCATCCACACCACATGCACAGTGAGTTTGAGACCTTTGGAGACAATCACTTCACAGAACTGCAGAGTGTGCAGCCTCCCCAGCTCCAGCAGCTCTACAGGCACATGGAGATTGAACAGATGCACGTCTTGGATTCTGCAATCCCAACCACACACATTGGACTCAACCATCAGGTATGGTTACCAACCCTTGCTCTGAATTTAGGATGATAGGTGGTAAAGGTAAGAAAAATAATGCATCAAGGAATGTGTACTCCTACGTTAAACAGTTTTGCTGAAGTAATTATACAAGTTGTTGCACAAGCACTTGATTTAAAGCTCTTCATTCTCAAGACAAAGCATTTTTTTTATCTGGATAACAAGGAACCACGTTCCTCAAACTGTCCTAAAAAGATAATTGCATTTCATGGAGGTTTTTGGAATTTCAAAATGTCATTTAATATGGAATGAAAATCAACTGGTTTAAATTCTGCAGAGGAACTGGACCTGAGTAACTATGCATTGTCATAGCAGGAGTATCTATGACTACTGGAAAGTATCCTGAGTCTCAAAGTTTTAAACATTTCCAAGACACCCTGACAATTTTACATGACCTGTGCAAGAAATGTTAACAAAGACAAATCAGAGTGAAACAGGTTGAGGAAAACATGCTGATTTTTACCTGAAAGTAAATAAGTCACAGGCTAAGACATGTTGTCTTGTCTCTCTCTACTAGATTTCACATTAAGCCAGTCATAAAATCACAGAATCATGGAATGGTTTGTGTTGGAAGAGACTGTAAAGATCATCTAGTTCCAACCCTCCTGCCATGGACTGGGACACCTCCAGTAGATCAGGTTGCTCAAAGCCCCATCTAACCTGGCCTTGAATGCTTCCAGGGAGAGGGCATCCACAACTTCTCTGGCAACCCTGTTGCATTGTCTCACCACCTGCCCAGTAAAGAATTTCCTCATGCCCTAGAAAAAAAGGATACACCATTGTGCAGCAAAGATAGTCACCAAAGTGCCAGTGAATTCCCACTAAAGCTGAATAGATAAGGAGTTCCAGTGTACTGCAAAGAAACTAGGCAAAGTGCGTGTGGAGATCACTTTTAACTCCTGATGCTACAAGAATATGCCCAAAGTCATTGCTGGGAGCAATAAGAAAGCTGCGTGGTCTTGTGCTAAGGAGTTTCCCCAGGCAGGCAAGCTACACACAATGTGCTGAGTACCAGACAGGGTAGGACTGAGGTTAGAGAAAAAAAAATGTTTGCTGATCACAGTGCTGTACATAACAGTGCCAGTGCTGAAGTTTATGAGTGGAGACAATCCATGTGAATGCATGGAGTGGTCATTTTGGGCTTCTTTGTTCAAAGCAAACTGAAATTTTAAAGCAATACTGCATTAATCAAAATCAAGGGGAAAAAATTGAGTGACTAAGTTAATACTGTCAACAGGAAACTGAATGACTGCAAGCCATCAAACTTCTCATCTACTACTCATTAAAAAAAAAAAAAAGTCAGGAATAGAATATAAGATGTAGATACAAACAAAGATTTAGGAACAGAAAGTTACAAATACAAAAAAAAAAAATGCTTCATGGAACAGCAGTCTGTGGGAAGCTTCAAGTAGTTACAGTTGCTCTCTGCAACTGCTAATGCACAGTGGCCAACCATTGCCTCCAACCAAAGGCAAAGAATAAAAATTAGACCCTTTCTGTGCGTCTCTGGAAGCATAATCAGAAAACAAGAGAGGGAGCTTCTGCTTATTCCACTTCATTCTACTCAGTTATCATCTGTCGCTTCAGGACAAAAGACAGAGAATTACTTTTGTTGCAACTTCCAGTAAAGAGCACTGTGCTCTCTCTGCCCTACGCCATGGCCAGCTGCAGTAGATGTTAGTAGGTGGAATTCACCACTACCCTCCTCTCCCTTACCAGCTGGGGATCTTTTTTTTTTTTTTTACTTCAACCTACAGTAGCTCATGCAAGTGGTGCTTGGCATGCTCTGAGGTTCAGACTCTGATGTGTCACAGCCACAGTGCTAGGCAACACATACTATTATTCAAGGCATTTTCAAAGAAACAGAAGCAGGAAGCTTTAATCCTCCACTGAATTTACTAACTACACCCATGCTTGTCGTGCAACATCAGAGTTACAGTTTTCAAATAAAGGAAGAACATAAAAATATATTTCTCTAATTTTCTGTTGATATCACGTGATTTTGTGAAAGCAAATTTGAGGCTCAAGCTGTTCTTGGGCAAGATTTCTTTAAGAAGTGGTGTTAGCCTGCCAACAGGTGGCCTTACAAACAATACATTAATAGAAGAATAGTCACTATGAAGGGAGAATGAAGGAAAAGTTTGGAAAACTGTGAAGAGCTTAAGAAAGTAGAAAATCTCAAATGGATGCCACAGATTCTGAGACAACAGTAGAATATGAGAAGTATCTAGCAGTTTCTTAAGCTTTCTTTCTCTAGAACTGTAGTAGTAACCTGGCTCTTCCAAACACACTAGCAGGTCCTCTGCGACTCTGTGTAACAAAGCTGTGTGACCTACGCTGAGTTTCAGACACAAAGTAAGTGTAAGCAAAAATGGAGTGGACGGGAAAACTGGGGACAAAGAAAGTGGGGGCAGCAAGGAGGAAGCTTGCTCAACTCCCCAGGTTGGCGTTTGCAATTCCCTTTGCTCGTGAGACACCATCCCCCTCCCTTTTCCACAGCACTCTCACTGTCCCACTCAGTCCCAGAGGAGTGGTTTCTTTACTCCCACACCACCTCACAACATGCTCCAGGTTTCCACAACTTTTCTCTGTAGGGGCATCAATCTCTGTTCTCCTTCCATGTCAGACACTGTCCCACCTCCTTATTCCCCTTCCCCCATGGCACTGTCTCTCCCTTCCTTTCTACCCCTGAGGCCACAGCTTTCTTAACTGTAAAAAGCTAAAGGTGACTGTGGTGAGGGCTGAAGTTTCGCTCTGGGGGATCTGACAGGAAGCTTACACACACTCTTACCCAATCCTGGCCTTCCTGCCAGATTGGCTCCAGCCAATCTGCCAACTCATTAACCGCCAGCTGCTGCACCCCAAAACCAGCCCTTGGTACACTCCTTATTGGGACATTCTAAGCTGGTGCAAAAGTCATCTGAAAAGCACCACTTGGTGGGGTGGGTGGTGTGACTCATGAAGAGAACACTCACACCCCAGTGCAGTGCCCCTGGTCCCTGGAAAGGGAAGCAGGCTCAAGACATTCCTTCTTGGTGGAAGGAAGGAAGAGCACTTCAAAAGGACCTCACCTTCCAGGACTGTTGATCTGGTTCATTTCATGACAACCACATGCTGTAGGCTGCTGGGTTTGGGAGATGTTGGGTGGGTTTTTTTAATGTAGTAATGTGGCTCTTACTCCCTGCCCCTCAGACTGATCTGCTTCTCATTCTTAACTAAGAAGCTGCAATAATTCATGGCAACTGGTCGTGATCCCTAATAAACCAGACTGCAGCCAAGAATTTACAGAGCTGAGGTATATTCCACACTGCTCTTGACAAGACCTCTATATAAGGGCAAGAGAATTGAGTACAAAAACTGGCTTGCTAGCTTTGCAGATGAGAAATCCCCATTAATGGGGAATTTTCAGAGCACCAACATGATGTACCCTTTATCTTAGTGCTAAGGCTATTCCCCTCCTCACGGGGGAAATTCAGGACAGGAAGCTAACAGATCCATAAAACTCCATCTGCAGAGCTGGATGAAGTCCTGTAGGGATTCACCACTGTCAGAAGTTACTGTGCCTGATAAAAGAAGAGGACAACAGAGCCAAAGCCAGTTAAAGCAGCCATGCTAGGGCAGAACTGTTCAACTCTTTCAAATTTGAAGAGTAGTTCCAGAAAGTTTGTGTTAGAGAAAAAGTTGTTCTGAAAAGCTGTTTTATACTGGGGTTATTGAACAGGGATCAGAAACTCATTAGGAAGAATGCCAGCTTTGGAGAAGTATGCAGGAAGAGGGATAACATCACTTGCACAGGATGTAACATATGGGAAAGTTCTGACTGTGACAACCTTATATTCCTCCTTCCCTCTTGTAAAGATGCATATTTGTTCATGCACAAGCATTGACTGTTAGCTTGAACTGTTTCTTAATTGCATATTATTGATTATAAATGTCAACAACTGAGTTACTCAGTATTGCCCTAAATAATCTAATTTACTTCTTACTTTCTAACCCCTTTTTCTCTGTCACTCTCTTGTTTTTCTTTTTTATTTTCAATGCCCCACTCTCTATCATTACCTGCCCCCTCTACTACTCCTTTCTCCCAAAGGTGCCCTATTTGCCCAGGATGTGCCTGCAGTACTCCTCTCCACCGCAACCCAGTTCTGATGAGGAGGACATAGAGAGGCAGAGCCCCCCATTGGAGGTGTCAGATGGGGAGACTGATGGTGTGGACCCTGGGCCTGGAATTATGCATGGAGAAACAGGTCAGTGAAGACAGAGGAACTTTGTCAAGCTCTATACTGAGCAGCTGTTACTTTACCATGATGATAATGAACAAAACTGTAGAACTGCTCGGCTAGTATTTTACACCACTGCCAAAGCATCACTTTCCCTGTCTCCTTGCACTCTGCCATCCTCTGAGTCTTCTATGACCATATCTCAAGTCTCATTTCTTCACATCCTCCCACTTTCTCCTTCTGTGTTGCCTATTTAGGCTTCCTGAATGGAAATGGCTTTTGCCTTTTCTACTCCAATTTCCATTAACAGATGGGAAAACCAAGGGAAGAAGGTCAAGAAACTGATTTTGAAAAATACTTAGCTCTGTTTGCTCACTACCTGAAAGTCAGGTTCTGTATAACCTGCCCAAATTAGCTTCAGATTAGTTTCAAATTAGCAATGCTTTCAGCTAGCTTCAAATTAGCGAATTAATTTTAAAACAAGGGTTTGTCCTTCAGAATTCCTTATTCTTGCTTTTTCTTCATGGTACCTCAATCCACACAATGTCCTCACAGTGTAGCACTGTTTCCTGTTATAAAATTGCAAACTGAAGAAGTTGCATGGCTGACAAGCTGACTGAAACAGTTATATGAATTATAGAGTTCTGCTGTTTCACTGGGAACTACACACTAGTACTAATGCACCACTGCCTTTGTTCTCTGACTCTCACACAGGCAGCAAGAAAAAGATACGTCTGTATCAGTTCCTTCTGGACCTTCTTCGCAGTGGAGACATGAAGGACAGCATCTGGTGGGTGGACAAGGAAAAAGGCACTTTCCAGTTCTCCTCCAAACACAAAGAAGCATTGGCACATCGCTGGGGCATCCAGAAAGGCAACCGCAAGAAAATGACCTACCAGAAGATGGCACGGGCTTTGAGAAACTATGGCAAGACAGGGGAGGTCAAGAAAGTCAAGAAGAAGCTGACCTACCAGTTTAGTGGAGAGGTGATGGGAAGGGGGGTCACTGATAGGAAGCATTATCCTCACTGAGGCCGTGGGACTCTAAGCAAGGAAAATATTAAGACCTCCTGGCTGAATACCAGCAGAGGAGACGGACGCATCTTTCTCTTTGCTTCCTGTGCCCCCTTCTCTGCCTTTAAAGGGCCTTTTACCATCAGATGTTTCTGGTACGAATTCCTTTCTTCAGCATCTGAGAATCCTAAACGTGACCGAATTCTTTGCTTCCACCCTACGAGTTGGACAGAGTTGGGAAACTTAAACAGTGTACAAATATATTATTGTCAGGAAATATTTGTTTGTTTGTTTGATTGTATTGTAACTAAGGAATACAACTGATGAAGTTTTGCCTTCAAATGTGGTGCTGTGTCACTCCTAGTGACACTGCATTAGCTTACAGCTTTCAGACTAGCATTAATATACAGGCTCTGCCGCAGCTCTCAAAGTTAGAGAGAAGTTTGCAGATCTTGGAATGATACTCGTTCTTTTAAATAGTAATAACATGTACATATTTAATAAAATTTGATATAATAAAGTTCTGGTGTTTGCATAATAAATGATTACTTCACAAGCAAATCTCATGTGCATTCAATTACATAGATACAGCTCATCTGTGGTACCTGAACAAAATGCACACTGGCTTATAGGGCCTTCTCCATCTGTCACTATTTACCTAAAAACACCATCAACGTTACCAAACTAAGTAACAAAGACAATGGGTGAGATACATTACTGTGAACAAGACTACAGTACTGAAGCAAATTTTAACATACGTATATTTATCTGTCATTATTTTTTCTGCCAGTTGAGTAACTTCTATTCACTTATACCAAGAATGGCATTTATAGCTCTATCCAGTTTAGAACATAACAATTAACAATGTTATTCTGTGGTTTCACTCATTTTCCTGCTCCTGTTCTTTCTTCTTGCTTGCTTAATTCCACAGTGATATCTTGATTTTTAGCTTATGAGCCTTTCTGGGAAATAAGCTGCATTTAATCGTGTCTTTGTGGAATTCTAGTACAAAAGGATTTCAAGCTTTTAACTGTGGATTTTAGTCCCTACTGTAAAACAAATAGTAACTAATAACGACTGCATTGTATGGATAACACTCAAAATGCAAAATAAAAGATAATTTGAGACCTGAGTTATAATGGTAAAGATATCCAGTACATCTAAACACAGGAAAGAAAACCAAAGTCAAACGACACCAAGATCATTAGTGTTTTAACTTTTAACATTATTTAACGTAGCTCATTGATCAAGCAATCAGAAATCAGAAAATACCATAATGAATCTCCCAAATGAGATGAGGTGAAATAAGATAGGCCTAGAATAAAGAGAAAGGATTTTTTAACACAATATTAATATTTAGTAGAATATGCCAAATGTGACAGTTTGCAAGTTGGAACTAACTAGTAACTAACTAACCTGAAACTTTTCAGAGCTTGCTCCTCACTGAAACCAGAAATAGCTGAAAGTGATGAGCTGCTTATAGACCTGAGTTCTCAAAATAATATCTAAGTCAGTTTTACCTACACTAACAATCTCGCTGTGGAAGTGAAAAGTCTGGTGACGTCACTAGGCTACAGTGTCCCCTTGGAGCTAAAAAGAAAGAAGTTCCTGATTTAAAAAAATTAAAAATCACAATGTAGTTCTTCCCAATTCTTCTTCCTAGTTCATGAACATGATAAATACTTCAGACAATGCCAGAAATCAACTGAGTGTTGAAAGTGGGTGCGGGCTTCAGAATTTTTCTATGCAAGACAAGGATAGTAAATAGAAATTATCTTTCAGTCTTACCAAAAAAATCTTGCAACCCAACTTGTATTTACGGTTCTTTAAGGATTAGGTATATTATCCTTGTCCAATATTTTTTTTTAATTCAATCAGGGTTAGGATATCTCAGATCTATAAAACAATTTAAGAAGTTTTTGCTAAAATTATATTGTAAGAATTCACTTTATGTTGGACACAATACTAAATTAGAGTCACATAAACTCCATCTGCATCTATATTGCAATTGTAGGATGGCAGCTGAAGACACTGAATGTAGCTCTTGGAAGACAACACTGACCACTGACGTAAGTAGGGTTTCTTCAGTGCTGAGCTAGAAACTCAGGACTTTTCTGCTTGGTACTGGTGATGAATCTCTACCTCTGACTTAGAACTAGAAAGAAATAGAAGACAGTTGCCCTCATCTGACTTGCAGGCTTGATATTCAAGAAAACCAGAAGATTAATTTTTCTCTTCATAAAAATATCTGTATCACAAGCATAGCTTGAAAAGCAGAACTGATCATTCTTATGACATGATAATTTGGAGAAGAAGGATCATTTCCTCTTGCAGAAAACTATGATGACTGAAAAGAGCTAACTGCTGAGCTAGTTGTAGAGATGTTTATGATATTACCAAAACAATTTCAAACTTGTCAAGACTTCTTAGATCTCAGAAACCTAGTTTTCAATTTTCCTAGCAACTCTTGCATAGAAGACAATTAGATGCTTGAGTAATAATACAAGATTAAAATAATCATTCAAACAGAAACAACAAGAACCTTTAAATGACTGATTTGAGTACTGCATTACTAGAAAATATTGTTTTAGAGCAGCTACTTCTATTTGAATTTTGAATTTTGCATTTTACACTGATTTTGGCCATAATTATCATGGAAATTGGAGAATCTGAGGAAAAAAATATTTCTGGCAACAGTATTGTCTTATAATTAAAACATTTTACAAATACTATTGAATATACTTTAACAAGCTGGTTTAAAATTTTCTTTGTCTCCAAAGTTGAAATCTTTTTCTCTTCCTCTTATTAATGCTTTGAAATACTGTTTCTAAAAATATTCACTCCCCATCTGTTTCTGGTTAGGTTTTTCATCTGTGGCATAAAGAGTCTGAAATCATGTGTTGCAGCTGTGAAGGAGACCCAATTATGATGCTTCTCTGCCACAGTACCGTTTGTATCTCATACAATCAAACTGGTCTGGATAGTAGGCTCTCTAATCAAGCTAAATTATTGCCATTCAGCCACACTTTCAAACAGAAGCTCTTTGGCTTTTTTAGAGAAAGATGCCAAAATTAATGTGACAATATCACTGTTCCAGGAAAATTACAGACAAGCAAGCATTCTTCATTCACTGAAAATGGTCAAGTACCAGACAGGTATATGCTGCAGAAAGGTAGGTTGGGTCATTATCTTGAGAGATGGCTTATGATTAGCATAAGTTTTTGGAACATTTTACAGCCTACTGCTGTTAGAGACCATCAATCAAAGTGAGCATTTATGCTACAGCTGTATATTCAACTTATATATGACATTTGCAGCCTGCTTGAATAGAAAAAAAAATAACACAATCTTTATTAACTTCTGACTAGTTCCTAATCAGCTCTTGTGGAAAGACATTATCCAGAAAACTATTGCTGATCTAAATTCAAAACACTGAACTTTGTACAGTATTCTAGACTTCCTCCAGCCATACATCAGAGGTGCAGAAGGTAGAAAAACTGAACTGGCTGTACAGAGGGATAATCTGTATAATAATAATAAATAATAATAATAATTTTACAGAGCATATATTTTTTAATTCTACCCAGTCAAAGGGAATTTTAGACATTTCTAGATCTCAGTTGCTACTCACCAACATCAGATAGAACTGCAGTTAAAGGTACTATCAGAACTGCAGTTAAAGATGCTATCATTTGGTTTTGCCTGACAGTCTACATTTATTAAATCATAGAATCATAGAATGGTTAAGGTTGGAAGGGACCTTAAAGACCATCAGGTTCCAACATCCCTGCTATAAGCATGGACATCTCACAATAGACCAGGCTGCACAAGGCCTCACCCAACCTGGCCTTAAACACCTCCAGGGAGGGGGCATCAACAACTTTCCTAGGCAGCCTATTCCAGTACCTTACTACTCTCAGGGTGAAGAATTTCTTCCTTATGTCTAACATAAATCTACCCTCTTCCAGTTTAAAGCCATTTCCCCTTGTCCCATCACTGCCCTCTCTGTTGAAAAGCCCCTCCCGAGCTTTCCTATAGGCCCCTTCAAGTACTGGAAGGCTGCTATACAGCCTCCCTGGAGAAGACCCTTGTCTTCTTCAGGCTGAACAGCCCCAATTCCCTCAGCCTGTCTTCATAGCAGAGCTCCAGCTCTTTGATCATCTTCATGGCCCTTCTCTGGACCCTCTCCAAGAGCTCCATTGTCTTTCCTGTGCTGAGGGTTCCAGAGCTGTATGCAGTAAATACTCCAAACTGACTGAAAAATATGTATATACATCTACCCTAATTTATTTACTGGCGATTTTATCTCCTCCTTCCTTAAATTTTATCTCCACAGCCTCATTTGAGATCCATACACTGCCGAAGTCATCAGTGTCCTCTTCCAATGGCTGGAGAATGTGAACTTTTTCCAAAGAACATGAAAACAACATTAGACTGCAGATACTCTTTCTCATTTTCTTGCTTATAACTCAGCTGTTTCTACTTTAGCCCTTTATTTTCTCACAACACCTCATCAAACCACACAGGATCACAGAGTAACTTAGGTTGGAAGAGATCTCTGGAGGTCACCTCATCCAACCCCCTAATCAAAGCAGGTAAATTAAACCAGATTTCTTAGGGCGACTGTATTTCCATTCTCCATTTCTTTCCATTCTCCCCACTCATACAGCCACATCCCCCCTCTTCATGCCTTCAGTTCTCCACAGTATTACTTTTTACTAGTGAGGAGTCAGAGCAGTACGTGAGAATGAGCAGAGCAGTCTATGGACAGGAGGAGAATGAGGATGTGGTAGAGCAGATAAGGTTTAGCAGGAGGTGGTGGAGGAGAAGGAAGGGTGGGAGGAGGTGCTGGGGAGACCAAGGTTATGCAAAGGATTGGGGAAGCGGCTTTGTGGTAGGAAGGAATGCAGTTTCTGTGCTTTGAGGGCTCCCCTCTGAGCTCTTAACTCCCCAGCAGCAGAAGAGCAGTGCCTGCATACAAGAAACCCTTTGACCACTGACACCTTTGTGCAGAATGCTCCAGTGCCTCTGCCTTATGCAAAGCGAAGAATGTTTGGGTGATGAGCTGGGTATTTGAATATACAAATCAGTTTTGGTTTCTTCTAGATTTAACTAATTTTCTGAGTTTTGAGTGTTTGCTTTTAGAAACATAATTCAGGAATTCTTCTTCAGACATTTCTTCTTCCACTTTTCCCACTCAACAACACTCTTTACTTTGTTCCTTTCTCAGGCAGTCCCAGCAACCCACCTCCAGCACTACATGCCTTTATTCTTCACCTCCAGACTCAGCCATGATATGCCTCCATATTTAGTAGATCCCAGTTACTTTATTCTCAATGTCAGATTTCAACTTTTGCCTAGTAAAGTCTTATTTCTTCCTCTCAGACCAGCTTTTCTCACATGTGCCTCCAGTCAGCCTCTCTTCATGTGAAAGGTTCTCAGTTCCAACATGTTTGTACAGCCATTTATAGTTTTACCTATCCCACATCCTCTTACAGTTTCAGTGTTATCACCTACTGACTCCCAGTTCTCTTCCCTAACTCCCATTTGAACTCC